ACTTCATCAGTAAATATTATTGTATAACACTGTGAGACTTTATCAAATAAATTTTACCCACAATGGAATTATACTCTATTGATACTCCAAACTAAAACTGAGAGCTATTTTTATCACTCCTTTGTAACACTTTTCTACAGTTTTTATGCATTTTTTTCCATAAATATATGTATTCCATACACAAAATTGCCTCCTTCACGTGATTGGTGCGTTCGAGGTCATTCGCTGATTGGTAGTTAGTGGTGCCTAAAGTTTAACTTTGCCCATCTTGGATTCCACTACTAGTCAAAGCTAACTAGAATTTACTCTTACTTTCAATGAAGTGGTCAGAAAACACTTCAGATTTAACTCTCCAATATATAAACAAAGTTTCCAGATTATTATTTACCATTATCTTTCTAAAAGTTAGTTTATAAGGATGCGATTTGTTTCAAGTGTGACCACGGATTGAACCCTGGTGAGGCCATGCTGTCATTGTATTCCTGCTTACTATATTTGTTTAACCGATATCATCCTTAAAATAGCATCATTTCCCTCTTACCTGCTTTAGAATGTCGCCAGTTACTGTCTGATTACTAAATAAATGTCAGATAACTCAGTTAATGTAAGCATTTTTTGTGGATCTTGACAGCCATTTTACGCATCCATTAAAATAGTTTTCACTTTTCTTAGAATGTTCATACAATCGCCATAAAAGCAGCCAACCATTTGAATCAGTTAAAAATAATTTCATGTCTTTATTCCCAATGGTTTTAATTATGAAACTGCTGTAGACAAAACATCAGATTTATTGATCGATCTTTGCTTTCACAAGTAATGTGAATATATATATATATACTACCTTATTTACTAAAAACGTCGTAATCTACACATTTCCAAGACTTAAGATGCTAAGCTCTTTATGTCACTTTTTCATAATTTGTCCGCGAAATTCATCTACTTAAAAAATGAAATAAAGGGGATCGATTTAAAAGTAGAATCAAGTTAGACATTTTTTTGTTTAGTCAGCTGTTTTCAGAAGTGGTTTTTAAGTTAAAAGTAGAGATGAGTTTTATACTTTAAACAGCATTCAGTATAGAATTTATTTTAAAATGAGTTTTTATAACCATTTAACAAGTGACATGAATGAGGAGGGAAATTGTACGAATGAAATTCATGATGTTTATTCAGTTCATAAATAAAGTAGAATATAATTACGATTTCTTTGCAGTGTCAACATGCTATTTCATTCAGAAAACTTGTAATCAGATTCTTAACTGATATTAATGACATTTACAAACTCCAGTGATGAGAAATCATTGAGCTGATTTTAGGAGATCAAGGGATGCTGACGTCTACGCAAAGTACGATGTATACAACAAAGTTCTGCAAATCAGAACACTAAATTGATCGTCCGAAATATGAAATATGCTTCGAGATCGGGATCATAGTGCCATTAGGATTGCTTACCTAGCTACGTATCATGCACGAACGAACGTGACACGATGGCTTGTCAAATGGCGTGGATGCCTGGCCATGAAGCTTTAGCTTGACGAGTAGACTTAATATGTTAGGGTCAGCATCCTGTGATGAGTGACGAATGCTGTAGGTTAGTAATTTTGGAGGGTTATTTACGTCTACATGCTAGACTACAGAGAAATTTCTCTTTTGTTTACAGAAGTACATTTTAAAAGAATACAATCAGTGTGGGGAATGTGAGTGCCTAAGGACTCAAAGAGTACAAGAATTTTACTTCATGGCAGGTAAGTTTCGTCCAGTCGAAACTGTCCAGAGAAATCAAACTCATCATTTTAAATGTAACATGATTTTCCTGGAGAAGTGATGTTATCTGTTTCGCAAGTTTGTCCTATGTAAGTGATATTATTTGTGTTTGCACTATCTTGTTTCACTATTCATTACATAAATTCGTACTTCAATAGTTGTATGCTCTTTTATACTAATTCACATAGACGTTGAATCCCAAAAGGCAACTGAAATATTACTTAATTATTAGCAGTCTTTGACATAAAATTAATTCAGTGATCATAGGTCTTGATCAAGTCCTCCCTAACTTGTTCTACACAACACAAGAGACATTCTGTCATGATTCGTCTGCAGTATGAAGCATTCCAAAGTTTTGCAGCTTTCATCGGAGTGTATTCTTTATTGTTCTTACGCTGAAGATCTGTGTAGTTTTACGCGTTCTTTTTCAGCAACTAGTCGTTTCTTTTTCTACAAACGATTTGGGCGTGTACGCTGAAATGGTCATTATCTTCATTAATTCATATGTAGAGTCAGATTTTGAATATTCCTTAGTTACTTTTTCTCTAAAATATCACAGATTAAAGAATTTCCTAATACATTTCGAAGTAGCACGGATAATGAATTTGACATTTCTCCAAGAATACTTACTACCGGTCCACAATATGCTTTTCTTCTCACTCCCCACCGTTTGTTGCGTATCCCACTCCAAAACAATCAGGAATATCATCAGTAGTAGTAGTCAGCCTTGTCATACTCCTGTCTTCACCTAAAAGGATTTACTGAGCTTTCATTATCAATCATTTTGCATGTGATGCCATCATCTAGCTGTTAAATGAGATCTATAAATGTCAGGAGCACACCATTGTGTTGAGGGAGTTTCCAAATTACCACATAACCAACACTATCAAAGGCGTTTTGAAAGTCTATGAAGTTCATTTTGAGTGTTGACTGCCATTTTATAGTCTGTTCGATGATAACGCGTAGTGTTGCGATTCGGTGCGTACACGATTCGCTTTTCCTCGAATCCAGCTTGTTCCGCGTGGAGTTTTAGTATCCAGAGCATGTCTTAGTCCCTCCAGTTTCTCCTTTTTTCTATTTCTGTTTGTCTTCTGAAACCTGTATCAAAATCGATGCATTTGTAATTCGTAGTATATTTGCTACTTCAAAAAGTTTAATTGTGTTAAGTAATTATTACTAAGCCGGAAATTTTGCAATAGAAACTAATTAGACGAAGTAGTAGACAACAGAACCTTTGAGGTTTTAAATAAAACATTCAATTAAAAATTACAATCTACCTTTATGCAGTTCTTGAATACATTTATGAGATTTATACAAGTTAATGCGACGATCTACTCTTCCTAAAGTGTCAAACTAACCAGGAAGATATTACACACTATTCATAAGCAGATGTTTTATCTTCCAATGTTTGACTTAAACTGAATTTTTAGTCGACAGATAATTATATCTCGACACTGAGTTTGTTAGATATGAAAACCAATGAACAGTGTGAGAAAAATCCACACTAACACTTCAAGGTTAGTAAAAACTACGATAACATGAAACGAACTTGTGGCTATTAATTGTGATAAACCTAAGAAATGGCAACACACTGCTTTCTATTTTCCATTCAGGTAATTCAATAAAAGTTATCAATGTAAATCTAATTCGTAATTTTCAAATTAGTTTGCAATTTACACAGTTCAAGGTGTAATTTCAGCACAGTCTCCTTTGGAAACCAAAAAGAGTTATCCACAGAATTATATATATATATATACTTAGGAATCCTTTCTTGTTTTCATTCCCCTACTTTCTGAGTGAAACATAGGGCTTCAAGCTCTAGCTTTGAAGTTTTATAAGTTTCACGAAGGCAGATAGTCACCAAGCCTGCCTGTCGAGGCACACCAGCAGCTGTTGGCGTGTTAAGAACTCCCACAGTTACAGGCTAAAAATGCTTTCTACACACGATTTATTCACGGTTTCACACATATCAGTCAAGTATCCTTACATTTCATCAAAAAGAGACTAAGAACAGAATAGTAAGTCGTCAGTTTTCAAAGTGACTGTATATATATTTTTCCTTTGGTAATTAAAATTCCACCAAATGCCCTTGCAGAAAAACACAGAGAAAGAGGGAAAATAGGTGAAAAAGAGCAAGGTGAAAAGCATAGAAAAGGAGAAAAACAAATCAGTCAGTCAATCAACTAACCAAAAGGAGTGATAAAGTTCAAATATTTGACTTCAAAAATATTTTTAAAAAAACATTATTTATTTACAGATGATCATTTTTGAAATTAAATTATACAGGATAGCATTTCCAGCGACAAAACAAACTAACAAAAGGCCAGAAATTCAATTATTATCATATTCTTTTAGATAGTAACAGTTGATAGGGAAAATAAACTGGTTGGTAAATTGAATGAAGTGAAAAAGTGAAACCGAATGTTCAATTCAAAGTGAAGAACAAAAGGAAATGTATTGTTCAAAAGTTCATAAATTAAGCTAAAGAAAAACTCACAGCTACAATGCATTCTCTATAAGTTAATGAATGAATTTATTAAAAACTGTAAGATAAGTAAAGTTTCTGATCCAGAAAAAATTAGATCAGAATAAGAGGTTACTTCTTCCATTCACTAACAACTCTAATCATTTAGCGGTGAATACATATTTCAAAAAAAACTTCTTAACACCTAAACGAAGTCAGCAAACAGCTTGTATCAGGTATTATTCCGCCTCTGGTGGATATACAAATGTGATAGGATGTTGATAACAACCATTAGTGTATTCTTCATCGAAATGGATATATATATCGACTGAAAAACAAATGCCACACGCCACACTGACTCCCTTACTTCAATACATTAGTAAGTGTAATGAGGAAAAGAAAGATATTTCATGTGTTCTACAGTTAAAATCCTTGTGTTTGAAGTAAAAAGAATAATTTTTAAGTAAGTACTTTGTAAATAAAAGTAAGAAATAAAGACTGCTGAGATTCTTCATGCCTTCAAGAAAAGAATAACCACTTTTTCATACATATAAACGCTCTTTTATTTATATATATTTATCCTCTTTCAAAGAGAAGTACTTCTGTAGCATTTGCTAAGTAATATCTATAATGCATAGTTTTACACCTGATATTATTATTATCTTACAAATTTAAAAAGATTGTTGAATATAGTTGAATAAACAGATATGTATACACAGTTGTGTCAGTATAACAGGGTATGTACAATGATTTCATGTAGACAAGTCATTGACTTTTACTGTTGTTGTTGTTGTTGCTGTGTGTCGTGTAACTGTCTAGTGAGCAAATTTTGACGAGTAATCAAATCAAGTAGTTGATTTTGTGTAAGCATATTGTCAGGATTTACAGGATTATGAGTATACGGGTGATTTTGTGCTGTGTTAAAGTATTGATTTTGGGAGTTTTGTTGTCGTTGCTGTTGTTGTTTCATGTGTAGATTCAGTGTGGCTGCAGCTGATATAGCTGCAGATAAATTTCGTGTATCATTCATAAGTAATGGAGATAAAAGTGATGCATCAGCACATCGGTTCACATCATTTACAGACGGTGATGTTGTGATATAAGGCGAAGTTGTTATTAACATTGGTGCATGATTATTTTCATGGGTATAAGCGCCACCCTGGTCTTTCTCGTTTGCTCGACTAACACCGCCAACTGTATTTATAAAGCCATTGGGTAGTGGAGGCAATGGTATAGATGGTGGTGAGTGTGTTGGATGAATTTGTGGTAAATCATAAGTTTGAGAATCAGAATAGCCTGTAGATGTCTGAAAGTCACAGGTAGAATTTATTGGTTCATAAGTTGTCGTAGTAAACGGCAAGTGTTTCATTCCATTGAAATCATTTACAAGGGTTCCATTTCCTGTAAGAAAATTACTTGTCGTGTATGAATTCATTAAAGTATTTGGTACAGTACTGATAGAATAAGACGCATTGTTATTACTAGTATTGTTATTATTATGAGTAGTACTGCTGTTCACTAGATGGTTGTTAGTTACTGAATATGGCGGTGATTTTAAATTTTCTGAAGCTGGTGAAAAATTACGATAAGAATTTTCTGATGTTGTATGATGCAGTAAGATTTTTGAACGAGCTTTACAACGATTTCGTCGGTGAAATTTTAGTAAACAGCATCCAAATATAAAGAAAGTCAAAGTCACAGTAAATGTTCCAACAACTGCACCGATCATTTCAAGAACAGAGAATTGCTTCTATTAAAAAAAGGTATGAATAAGAGAGAGAAAAACAAAATAATTGTGTGTTTAATGATACTGAATCTGCTAAACGGTTCGGTAACTATTACTACACACTTTTTCTTATTGTGTTCTGCTGAATAGAAAGTTTGAGCATCAAGCTACTGACAGTTGAGTCCGTGTATTTGAAATCAATATTGTTTATAGAAATTGAGCCAAGAGTACTATTAAGCTAGGTGATGATGCAAAGTTAAAGAATAACGATACAACGGAAACAAACGTACCAATGACTGTGAAGAGCGCAATTACACTAAAAACCCATTCGCATTCCTAGACATACTTTTGAGTTGAAAAGAGGATATCTTGATTTATAGGAAGTCTACTTGGGCAGGGCAGCGAACTCAGTGTTCTTTGTCCTTTAAATCCAGATGAAATTATGAAGGCATTGAAACTGTGTCTACGCTCCACGTTATTTACATTTAGAGGGGTTCTTTACCGTCAAACAGAAGGCATTGCTATGAGATCACCAGTGTCTCCGCTGGTCGCCAATCTGTTTCTGCACTCATTAGAAACAAATGCAATTATGAGATGCTCTAGTCCTCCAAGAATGTGGTTAAGAAACATGGATGATACCTTCGTCATAATCAGACGCAGCGTGTTGAATGAACGTTTTCATTTAATAAATAATATGTTAGAAACCATTAAGTGTTCCAAAGATGTCGAATCCGATGAAAATGATTTGGCGTTCCTGGACTGTTTAGTAAAAAGAAAACCAGATGGTAAACTTAAAATAAACATTTGCAGAAATCCAACACATTCGGACATATACCTAGACTATTTTTCAGCACATCCCTTTACCAAAAAAGGAACTGTGGCCAAGAATCTGATTGACAGAAAGAAACGTCTAGTTACTGAGGACGAAGAGATGAGCTGGGAACTAATATTGGTTCAATCCACTCTTGAATCAAGTAATTATCCGAAAACCTTCATAAAAGGACGGATAGAAACCTATTGCTAAGAATTGGTTTAGTACGGTGGTGATTCGTTACAGCAAAGAAACATCGGATGAGATAAAGCGAATCCTTAACAGTCATGATGTAAGAGTGTATTTTCGTGAAACTAACACCTTACGCTCGTCACTGGTGAAGGTTAAGGATAAAATAGAAGACAACCAACAGAATTGTTTGTACTGGACCAATTGTATATGTAGAAGAAACTTCCAGAAAGGTAAATATAAGAGTGAAAGAGCATAAACAATGTCTAAAGGTGGTTCTAAAGACTTCTGTGGGCTTAAAGAAGCTAGAAAACAGATCGGTGATTGCACTGAACTTGATGGAAGCTGGACATAAAATCGACTTTGATAGGAATAAGGTTCTACAGAAGGGTTTCGGTTCGTGTAAAGAAAAACTGACTGCAGAAGCCCTACATATATGGGTGAATCCCAACAGTTTGAACAGACGTGAAGGTGTGATATTAGCTGATGCATGACAAATCGTGACTGATAAATAAAAAATGGATATGTATGACTAATTAATCATACTTGATCTAAATTCCCGATTGTCTATTTCTTCTTATGGAGAGGCTAACAAATGATTTACAACTCTTTACCCATACACTTATGCGCACACACCATTGTATACTGCATATACACATATATTTTCATATTCAATTATCTACGACCATGAACTTTTAGTCGAACGTAATCATCGAAGCATCTGCACAAGGAGCCGACACGTCAACCTGAGACCGAGCACTTCGGTCCAATTAATCGACTGGAAAATCTAAAATTGAATTAAATAAGTAATCACTAAAATTCTGAGGAAAAGTACACTTTGTTTAAAGTGTTTAACAAAAGTAGACTAATATTTGTAAGTCTGGGGTCAAATTCTGATCACAGTTCATACAATTTTGTTTATTATGTTTTGATGATCGCTTCATGACTCATATGACTGGACAAAGTTGTTTTTTTATTTAAATGACAGATGTCCTTTTAATTTCGATTAATTTCCCTGAAGAAGTTCGAGCCAGTTTGCCAAACGAAATGTTGGAATTACTCATTTCAATTTCGCTTCGATTTTAAAAATATAATTTTTACAAATGTCTATCTATACAGTTGATTTCATAGATAATGATAATATAATATTTGCGGATAAACTAATTTAAAACTGATATCTTTTGAGAGGTAAGTTAGGTTCAAAGCCTGCAGTCTACTCTGTCCCAATTAAGGATGTAGATATCAAATTACCATACAATAGGGAAATAAGTGGCAGGATTTTAAGACAAATACCAAATTAGGTCATCTTTCCCTAACCTACTAAAAATTGCCATTCACAAACTTATCGAACCAAAAATTTGTGTGAAAAACAGTACTTACTTGAAAGAGCATATTCTCAGGATCATCTTGAAGAACTGTATACCATCCATGTGTCATTTCATAACTAGCCAAAGAACGATCATTAGTTATGCTATTTTTATCTGTTTGTAAGATGCTGTCGCCAGTTTCTTTATCTTTATTCTTTTGAGCTTTTGCTTTATTAGTCTGTGAAGTCAAAACACTATTCGACATCGCTTGTAAGTGTTCAAAAGTTGGCCAATGAAAGACTATCTCAGCACTTGTATTCCCGTTAGAATCACTAGCAAAACAAATCAGTTTCTCAACTTTTGAAGATGATACATATGGATTGTTCGACCCCTTAACTTGACTTTCACTATTTGGTCTGATCTGTTGACTTAATTTCAACTCTATTCCACCATTTGGCAGAAGTTTTGTATTTGGAACTGAGAAAAATTGTTGTTGTTGATGATTTTGCATCAGTGTCAAGAAACTGGACTGAGAATTCGGACTATGACCATTCTTACTGTCACTACCATTGCCAACTGGACGATACCAGTCAATATGAAGTTCTGGGGAACCTTTCACATGACACCGTACAGTAACAGTTAAAGATGTATCGCTTCCGTCTTCTTGATTTCCTGATACCTGTTTCTTTTGATCAGTTTGACCTTTATAAAATTCTGTTAACTGACCTAAATCAATTTCAACAACTTGAAGTTTCGGTGTACCACAGAAGAAATCTGAAACTGTCAGTGATTCAATACTTCTTCCAACTAATCTTCTTGGATGATGACATAAAGGCTTCAGGAGGTCACCATCTAAAGGTGTATTGTGTTGATTAAATTCAACTAAGTTGTTTGGTCTGTTTAAAGAATTTCTTCCAGTCTGATCATCATCGTGATCGTCATCATCATTAAACATTAATAGGCCACGTGTACGTCGTTGTACTTGTCGTCTGTTTAACACAGACGCCAACCAACTCAGTTTACAGTCACAGTTGAATGGATTCTGTTCTAATGACAAGCTTTGTAACTGTAGAAAAATCGGTTCTAAACGACTTTCCAGAGTCATCAATTGATTACCAGACAAGTGTAAATTTTTTAATTGTTTACTATTAATCAGTGGTAATAGAGTATCATATGTGATTGTTTTAAGGCCACATTGGTTAATAGATAAGGAGACAATTGATGCACTTTCAAAAGCACCCATTTCAATATTCAATCCAAAATTTTCATCTAAACGTAAGAAATCCAGGTGTAAACCTTGAAATGTACCTTTGGCGATTAGTTTAATTCTATTCTGAGATAAATCTAATTGTTGTAAACTTTTCAAGGATTGGAATGTACTCGGTTGAATTGACTGGATACCACAGTTACGTAGGGTAAGACGTTGTAGTTTAACATTCTGTTGTGCATACATAGAGAAATTATCGTTGGTTAATACTGGATTATAAAATTTATGACTCATTAATATCATTGACTGAATATCAGAAGAAAGACGATCTGGTAAGCGTGTAAGTCCGCCTTCTTGACAAGACAGTGAACCAGCTATACAACCACTACATGTTTTATTCAAGCATAATTCATTAGAGCTTAGACTTTGAATTGACTGAAATACACATTGAAAAATTAACACGAATAGAAGCCTTTGAAGTAGATGTCTTTGTTGGCTATTGGTAGTCATTTTTGAAGTGGATTAATTAATAGCCAGTTTATACAACTGTTGATTGATCGTCAGAAGCTTTCAGTTGACTTTGTAAATGTGTAAATGATTTCTATATTAAGTACAGAAAAACAAAGTGTCATTTTCATCTACAATTAAAAGTAAAACAGTTGATTATTAAAATAAACTGACATGTAAAACAGTGAGCATTGCAAAGTATAAAATACATCAAAACTATTATAGAGTAAAATACCGTTTCATTTGAAAATTATTTCTAACGTCTTATTACGCGAATAAGTGAGGCTATGGCTCATTGGTCTGGACGCTCGACTACCAACTAGTTGGTTCAAATCCCTCTTCACTAGCCCTCACACAATAAATGTGGCTAACTGCCAACTACATAGGATTTCAATTGGTTGCTGAGTATATATATATATACGTATATATATTATTATTATTATTGTATCCTTTAATTCCTACAGGAACATAGGGCTTCAGCCGTGACGTATATATATATAATGTTATAGCCCTTGAGTTCCGAGTTGAACATCGGGCTTCAAGCTTAGGCTTGGAAGTTTTAATAGAAGTGCATTTATATTTTATAACTGGGTGGGATTGCTAGTCTCACATCCCATCTTACCTCTTCACCGGGTTTACAAGCTAAGCGAGGTTTAAGAGTGCATCGGCGGGGGATCGAAAACCAGATCACTCGAGGCATGGTTAGTGAAAATTCTACCGTTGCACCACCGACGCCTAAAATGTACCATTACGCAAATATAAGCATTTTACTGAAAAGTTTGGTTATACAGTTCTGTGGCTTAATGGCTACATAGTCGAATGGATGAATTATTAGATTCTACTGCCACAAAGTACTGAAAGATAAGACCTTGTTTACTGGCTAAGCTAAGTTGAATTATTGTGCTTCATTACAACCTACAAAAATCTGTGTTAAAAAGTAAGCTATTCTCTGGGCACTTTAAATATCCATATTTTTACAGCTGAGTTGCTTTAGATGTATTTGTAATCTGATTCTCAATGTTTTAAGTATTTTATTCAAATAAAACTAGATAACAAAAATAATAGTCTGTCATTCAGACAACAGGAAGAAAATTGTAGCCGAATACTACTCTAGATGTGCGTCGGTGGCACAGCAGCAGAATGCTCGTCAACCACGCCTCAGGTGGTCCGGGGTTCCATCCTCGGCTGGTGCACTCCTTTAACTCGCTTAACCAACAATAAGACTGATAATGAGGGAAGGTTTGGTATACGGCTAGCAACCCCATCCCGTAAACACCACTGTCACCGAAATTTCAAGCCTCCAGCTTGAAGCCATATAGCCTGGAGTTCTAATGAGAAGTCGTGACCAGTGGAGTCCATCCGCTCGGGAGTGAGGACAGATCCTCTCCAGCGATAATATTGGTTGGTGCCAGTGGCACTAAAATCATGAAATGGTAGAAGTTAGAAATCATGAGCTGGCTGCTGGATCGGATCCCAGTGGCTGCTTGGTGAAACAGCTTGACGTGTAACCAGAAAGTGCTAGGTTCAAACCCCAGTGCGTGTGGATTACTTTTGATTTGACATAAGAATTAAATGTCAACAGTTTTAGAATTAAGCCATATTTGTCACCAATCTCTAACTTAAGGAAAATAACATGATTAGATCAATGAAGACTAGCACTTTTTTCTCATAATACATCCGAACAGATCCATTATATTATAATTAATCATTAGTATTGATTAGTATTCGGGAACGAATCACAAATAAACTATTTGACGTTAACATACTGTCCAGTTTGCACACGACTGTTTTTTTCGGGAATTAAATTGTTTATACCATACCAATTGTTATATAAAACTTTCATCTAACTTTAATTATTAAACTTGCACTCACAGGCAGACACACACGCATATATTTTAGTCAAAAATGTCAAAAACACAAAACAGTTAAGATGTTTGAAAAGTAAGTGTACAAAGGCCCTCTAAAACTGTCTTAGTTACAGTAACATTTTAAAGTTAGCGTATATTTTAATTACCGCCGAAGGAGTCAGTCGCAAATCTGGCAATAGTCGTGCTCACAGACCTACACACACATATGAAAACTGACTTCCTGGTTGACTACCATCTTTTCTTTGCAGGTTATGAAGAGAAACAAGAGAGATATGAAGTTATTAAAAACAGAAAGAGAGAGAGAGTAGAAGTAATAAGACAAATGACAAGACGAAATAAAGAAGAAATAAAAATCATAAGGAAAGGGAAGTAGAATCGGCAGTAGAAAAAAAATACAGAAAGAAAGAAAGTGAGTCAAACTAAAGAGACAAAAAGAAGTAACTAGTCAGTCAACCGTAAATATGCAACATAATAGTAAAAATTTGCATTTAGATTGAAAAATATTATCCTTTTTTTCTTTTTCTCTCTTCTTTTAAAAAATAGGAAATAAATTAATATTTATTAATTTTAAACGAGACAGAAAGCGCGCGCACGCGCGCGCGAGTTCGTTTAAACACTCACGAAAGTCTATTGATCAGTGTATCAAATTGTTAGAGTTGAATTCAAGAAAGCAGCCTGTAGACTTAATTAATTTTCTTCTTTTTTTGTGCGTGTGCGTGTGTGCTTTTAATCCAGACATTTGAACGAAAAGTATGACAGAGAATGGTAAGCATCATAGACAATATGCAACTGTGAAGCTACTTATAAGTTGGAATATGGAAGAGAAATTATGCAAGTTTTATCAACTAAATTTATTCACTTTTAACTAGAATAAGTAAATTAAGTAATCTTTCTCATCTCTTACTTTATGTAACTTTTTTCGACAGATTGAAATAAATATAAGAACAGTATTTGGTCACTGCGGTAGATTATAATTCTATTTGATAAAAAACAAACACATACAGTGATGCGGTATTATCTACTGATGATGTTCTTAGTACACTTTATTCCTAATAATAATATCAGCTGCCTTGGTATGATTGTGTTCTAAACGTCATCAAAGATTACCGAAATCAAGTCTTTGTAAAACCGTAGATAGAATTTATGGTTGAATAATAATTATTCTGGAATTTCAGATCATTTTCGAATATGTCTGATGCTTCACAGTCTGTGTTATGTGTAGTGAAAGGTGTTTACCGATACTTATAGAAGGTTATGATATGCTATTGAAGAGTTATTCACAAATAATAATTATTTCCGAACAAAAAATATAAGTACAATATTCCTGTTTTGGTCTACCGGGCTATACCCAGTAGGTGTTAAGATGTTGCAGAGAATATCTCAGCAGATAAATATTGAGAAAATATGTCAAATTTATAGGATCATGCAGAGATGAATGAAAACAGTTATATATGTCCAAACCAAGTTCACTTTTAACAGTTTGAAAAAATTTGGGCATTGGGTATATGATATTCATTATAATAAAGGTTTTTGTATTTCCCAATGAATGAAAAACAAAACGGTATTGTTTTTACTGACGTTTCGCTATTTAATGCTGCTAATAGCTTTATCAAAGTATTATTAAACCGGAATTTACAAAATCTCAGCATATATATGACAAAGAGTTTTTTCCTTCACGTTCCCCATTGGAACATAGGGCTTCAAGCTAGTGGCTTGAAGTTTCTGTAGCAGTGTTTATTTTACAGGATGGGGCTGCTAGCCTCATGCCATACCTTTCCTCTTCACGAGCATTATTTCAGGCTTAGTGAGGTAAAGGAGTGCGTCGGCCGAGCATCGAACCCCGGACCATGTGCATGGTCGGCAAGCGTCTTAACCGCTATGCCACCGACTAACAGAGAGTTAAGGGGGGAGAAAATAGACTTAGGCTAAGTTAAAAGGACATAATGAAAGTCAAAATAACAATGATCACTAAACCAGAAACACAATTAGAAAAACATGCTATAGAATCAGGTCACAAAATTGATTTTGACAATATTGAAATAATCCAGAAGAAACTTCAGAAATCACAAAGAACGTCTAATGTCAGAAGCACTTCATATCAAGTGGAATCCAAATTGCCTGAATAGGAATGATGGACTAAAACAGAATCTGACCTGGTTACAATGCCTCCCTCCCCCATGAAGTGACAAAATCAACACGAATGTGATAAGCAAGTTCACTATGTAAACACACACTGCCTTTATAATTTTAAACACTGATCAAATCCAACAATCTACAGTTGGTTTTGACCAACTTGACAAAGAAAAATGACCCCAGACTAACGAACGATGATCAAGTTAGTAAACTTTGTTTTGATATCATAACAGATGTACTATTACCTTTGTTATTTGGTTTAGTGATCTTCATTGTTATTTTGACTTTCAATATGTCCCCTTTAACTTGACCTAAGTCTATTTTCTCACCTCTTAACTCTTTGTTATATATATGCTGAGATTTTGTAAATTCCGGTTTAATAATACTTTGATAAAGCTATTAGCATTAAATAGTGAAACGTCAGTAAAAACAATATCGCTTTGTTTTTCATTCATTGGGAAATACAAAAGCCTTTATTATAATGAATGAAAACAGTGCCTAAATTAATTTTTAAAGCTTTATGTATAGAAGAAATGAAGGCCAATGAAGTACCAAAACACTACGCATGAGTGAGTGTATAAGCTATTGTAGCGAAAAGACCGCCTAGAAAATCCCTTCTGAACTATCTAATCACAATATTTATACTTAGTTGGATGTGTTCAACTAACTTTGTAATTATTATCCATTTTTCTCCTAGACTGTATATCATTATTTTGACGATCACAAATCACATATTGATTTGATCCTTATAATTTGTCTTTGTTCTTGTTTAATCTCTAATTAGAATGCCCCTCTTTGTGGCTGTTCGACACATTGATAATGTGTGTCGCTTTACGATGTGATTTTGTTTGAGTGAATGGAGGTCACTCTGACCTTGGACTGTCTACGGGAATTCTCAGTGTGTGATTCCTGTGGTGAGAGTTTTTGATCCCACCTTGTTGGAAATATTCTACTTGATTCTAAGGTAATTCTTAGAGTTGAATTTCGGTTAACTAATTTTGT